CACTAATCATGGTGGCTGGCCCACAGGAAGCATTCCATAAATGGTGAATGTTATCATTATCATTACTTTTCATTTACAGCTAATTCCAAATAGCCCTTCATGCTAATGTCTTGGTGCTAACACCTCACACAGAGGTTGGTTTCCTTTTTCCTAACTCTGCAAGGGACACTGGTTTCTTCTAAATGGCCTGGTAAACTATATGGGATAAAGCTTAAATGCCAGGAAGGGTCCAGCAGTCTTGCAAGTTTGGTTCAGGGTAACACATGGGAGAGAATCTTTAGGCTAAACCATCTCTACTCACTTGGTGCCCATAAGTACAGTCCAGCACTGCAACTGAAGGCTGCTCCACATTGACTTAGTACTGATTACCAACCTTACATTTCCCCATTTAAACCCCTCCTGAAGAGTCTGTTTGCTCCCTGTCACTGGATCTCTGGGCCCTCAAACTTCCCTATTCTTCAATGTGCCAGCTTTTTGCCTGAATCAGTTTACAAAAATCATATCTAACCATGCCTAATTTAATACAACACTCGCCTTCTTTGTTCCCCTCAATCTTTGGTCAGTTCCAATATCTGGTATTCACAGACATTTGCTTTCTCTTCTGCAGTTGCTGGAATTTTGAGCCCTGTTAAATTCTCAAGAAACAACTGACTGAGTCCCCTACCAATTCATCTAACTCAGCTGGCTTTCAATAGTTAGCATTTATTCAATAGTAGTCATTCTGTGCCAGACACTCTGCTAAGTAAAAATTCATAATGACCATAAAGTAAGAATTGTTATCCTTTATTTGTAGAAACTGAAACTTATAGACATTAAATGCCTCCTTCAAATTCACTAGCCAGTAAGTGGGAGAACAAGAATCCTGATTACAAGGCTCAGTCATCCTTTAATTTTTTGAAAACTATTATATCACCATCAGATTGATTTCTCATCTTTTCTACTCTTTTCTTTTCAGTGCTGGAGACTGAACCTGGACCTGGCACATGCTAGGTGAGCACTCTACTACTGAGCTATATCTCCAGCCCTCTGTTTTTTTTTTTTGAGACAGGATTTTGCTATGCAGCCTAGGCTGACCTAGAACTCATGATGTAGCTCAGGCTGGCCTTGAACTTGTGAGTCTCCTGCCTCAGCTGCCTTCCAAGTGCTGGGATTATAGGTATGTACCACCAACCTGGCTCTTCTGCTCTTTTCAAAGCATCATCTTCACCTATAACACCTAAGCTCTTGGAGGATGAGCTCAATCAATTTCCTGAGACTTAGATGACACAAACTTCCCTAACTATTCTCAATTCCATGTGAAAATTTTGGGGTAATTTCATCTTCTATCATTTGTCTCAGAGAAGTATTTCCCTACCTGGGATTTACCAGGGGCCTTTTAATTGCCTGATCTCTTTTCTAGGCTTTATCCATCTACCTCTTTGTAAACTGTGTTACCCACTCTACTCTTCCTTCTTCTTTTGCTTTGGGATGTTTAGAAAGCCTATCTGCCACCTAGAGTAAAGATAACATTTTCCATCTCACGTTTCCCACCTCCTAGTTGTAACTATATGACCAAGTTCTAGCAATGGGTTAGAAGTGAAAGTGGTATATATAACTTTCAGGGATTATCTTTAAAGTCCCTTCTCCTTCCTGTGTTGATGGTTTGAATGTGAAAAGGCATCTTGAACCTCGAGAGGAGGAGAATGGGTCCTTGATGACCACAAACTGTCACCTATCCTTGCACTCCTTACTTTTGGACTTCTACATTGTTTAAACTGTAGTTATATGGATTTTCTGTCACATTCAGCCTTGACTTCTAAGACTCAGCATTATCCTAATTATCTTCCTATGTTTCTTTCTTCTTGTGCTTCTAAATTGAATCTGTATTTCTAATCTTAACAGCTCTCCTGAATATCAGACCTGTCCTGTTCTGTTCCCCATTCAAAAAGCTTCAACAACACTGCACTCTTTGGAATAAAGACTGACATTTGCGATCCAATACTCTATGATCTCAATACTTGCAAACTGGATTGCTAACCATTCTCCCACCATTTTACCATTTACGCCACTCCCCCTGCCTAGAATGTGCTCTCCTTCCTCCTTACTTTTTGTCTGTCAAGTTTATCTATTTTAAGGCCTAATTCAAATGCCACTTCTTCAAAATCTTGGATCTCTTATGCTGATAAAATTATCTGGCAGCCCAGGCAGATAGCTCACTTATGAAGTTGGTCAACCTTCCCCTTTTCTTCCTTCTGAAAGCTGAACTAGCTATATGTAGTGGTTCCAGATGAAGTTTTTTGAAAAGCGAGAAAGAACTGGAAATTTCCCTCTTCCTTTGTGGTAAAGATGCTTCCATCATGAAGAACCATTTTCAAATACAGCATTAAATTAAATTAAGTGCCTATTCTGTAAGGGTTAATTTTTGTTGATTTGTTTTTAAGTGACCCTCTCTAAATGTTGTGATTAAAAATCTACCAAGAACTGGGTGGCTTCCCACAGTTAAGATGTCAGCTCTTCTCAAACTACTACCTAGATTCAATGCAATTCCAGTCACAGCCCAGCAAGACTTGGTGTAGACACCCATGCTCATTCTAAATTTGTATGGAGACACAAAAGAACTAGAATACCTAAAACAATTTTGAAATTAACACAATTACAAAGGAAGCTCAATGGAGAAAGGAAATTCTTCCCAACTAAAAGTGCTGAAACTGGATATCCACATGCAAAAGTTAACTCAAAATGAATCATATAAGTCTATGAACTTATATAAGTCACATAAGTCTTTAAGATAGAACTTAAAGCTAGAAAATTTCTAGGAAAAAATAAAAGAAAAAAATATTTGTGATCTTACCCATTTAAAAAAAAAAAGGATACTATGCAGGAGGTGGCAATCAGGTTCAAGGTTCAAGATTCAAGGTTCAAGGTCAGCCCTAGCAAAAAGTTAGCAAGACCCCATCTCACCCAATCCAGGCATGGTGGCACCACCTGTGATCCCAGCTACAGGAGTAGGCATAGTTAGGAGGATTGTGGACCAAGACAGGCCCTGTGCAGAAACATGAGACCCTATCTGAAAAATAACTAAAGCAAAAAAAGGGCTCAAGAGGTAGGGTGCCTGCCTAGCAAGCATGAGTCCTCTAGTTCAAACTCCAGTACAGCTCTCCCTAAAAGAAAGGATAAATTGAACATCCTCAAAATTAAGAATCTTTGCTCTTCAAAAGAAAATGTAAAGACAAAGTCTCAGACTGGGAGAAAAACACATCTAATAAAGAACTTATGTGCAAAATATATAAAAAAACTCACAACTCAGTAACCAAAAAAATAACTGTTTTTTTTAAATGAACAAAAGACCTAAATAAAGATCTAAACAGACATTTCATTAAATAGTAAATAATCACATAAACAGAAGCTCAGCTAGAGAAATGCAAATTTAACCTATAAGCAGATATCACAACATACCTACTACAGTGGCTAACCTAACAATATTAAATATGAAGGAGGATACTACAATAGTAACCAACTCTCATACACTGCTGATGGGAATAAAGAATGGTACAAACACTTCCAAAAATGGTTTGGCAATTTCTTTACTTCCTAGGACCCAGCAAACCTATCGTATTTTTCCAAATGAAATGGAAACTTACATTTACTCAAAAATCATAGGTAAATGTTTATAGCAGCATTATTTATAACTGTCAAAAACCACAAGTGACCCAAATGTCCCTCAGTGGGGGAACAGATAAATGGTGGTATACCTCTACAGTAGAATATAACTCAGCAATGAAAAGGACAAATTACTGATACGTACAACATGGATGAATAGCCACTGTATTTTGCTAGGAAAAAGGGTATATACCGAATGATTCCATTTATATGACATTCTGGAAAAGGCAAACTCATTAGGACATACATCAGAATAGCAATTGCCAGGGATAAGGGAGGTGTGAAGGGCTTGCTATACAGAGACATAGGAAAATTTTTTTGTATGCTCAAATTGTTCTGTATTTTGATTGTAGTGGTAGTTATACAACTATCTGTCAAAGCTTATAGGACTGTACACAAAAACCAATGAATATCACTATATCTAAATTATAACTATTTTTTAAAAGCTCCAAATGAAAACTGTAAGATAAAAAACAAAAGCAACTACTATGAAAATGACTACAAAGTTTCTGCATGCCAGAAGAGAAAACCTCTGAACAGGTCCATTAAAAATAATACATATGACATAAGACACACTTCCTCTTGGCCACCCCACACTCTCTGAAGTCTAGCAAAGGGCATTTTTACAGGGACCATGGGTTGTCTTAGGACTGAAAGCAGGCACTGTTAATATGCCACGAAGAACCTACTGCCTGCAAGCTGCAGGAGCTGAGAAAGGCTGCAGGACTTCCATCAAACTGCAGCTGCAGCCCTTCATCCCTCTGAGAACCAGGGTTGGAAGAATTCAGCAGCACACTCTCCCCACTGCTGGGACTGCCCTTACACCGACAGGCTGGCTCTTGGTACTATGGCACTCACTCCCTCAGAGGAAACTGAATTTAGCAGAAGCAATGAAAGTAGGCCAAGGCAACAGAGCACTCTAGTTACCTACTGGCGGCCAATCACTGGCCACTTCCTCACTAGGAGTGTCTCGTTCTGAGGTCAGGATCAAAAGCAGAGTCTGTGCCGTCAGCCTTGAACCCAAAGGGACTGGCTTGTTGGGCTTGTTTTCCATGGCATTGACTCAAGGGTTTATCAATCTCTCCATCACTGCACGCTGTCCCTCCTCCCACAGTTGCTATCTAGGCTGATCTAACCTTTTCCTTGTTGGGTGTGCAAGAGGGTGGCACCTACCTTCAACCCAGGGTGTAGAGTTCAGACAGGAAAAATGAAAGACTGTAATGGCCATGCTGCCTTGAAACCCAAATGCCCTAACACAAGAAACATCACAGCTACATCATCATCTGTTTCCATCCAAGAGCACAAACTTTTAAATTCCTTTTGGAGTTGTTTTTGTTGTGGGAGAGTAAGGTGGGCTGTACCTTTTGCTCTTCCATCCACGGATGTTGGCTTCTTTGTCTCTGCTGTTAACAGCAATTCATAAGGGTGCTCGTCCTCTTCCCTGGCTGCACTCTCCTGAATCCTGGGTCTCACGGCCAGGACCTATGAGAGAAAAACACCCAGTACTCTTTGTGCTCCAAAACAGGTGGTGTTAAACAGACTTGAGATTATTGCCTTCTTTGCATCTGAGTGACATGAAGAAGGAGGAGGTAAATAATTCAAGTGTCACATGGGATTGCAACTGTTTTTCTGGTTATACACCTGTTGCAATTTGTCTCTCAAAAATCATGTTCCTGGAAGCTTGGTTTCTAAAGTGTGATGATGGAGGGTAGTACAACTGTTAAGAGGTGAGGTGTAGTGGGAGGAAATTAGTCTATGGGGTACCATTCATGATTAATTCACTCATGAATGGATTAATGCTGTCTCTTGGGAGTTCTAATTCTGGCAGGACTAGATTAGTATTGAGTAGGTTGTTATAAAGTGAGACTGGCACCTCCCTGCACGCTTACTTCTGAATGCTCTGCTCTCTGTTCTTTCAGGTACTCCCACCAGGTGATGCATCCACCATGTTGTGATGTAGCCAAAAGGTCTGCACCAGAAGCTGAACAGATGGGGCTGCTTGATCTTGGCCCTTCTGCCTTGCACTGTTAGCTAAATCTCTTTTCTTTATAAAGTACTTAGCCTCAAGTGTTTTGTTATAGCACTATAAAACAAACTGAAATAACATCTGTACCTCAAATCTCAATGGTCTTTGACTGAACTGTTCCTCTTTCCTTACCTCATTTTATCCTTAAAAACACAACAAATATTATAAAAGATTCTTCTTTCTCTTTTCTCTCCAACTCCATAGTGTTCTGCATAATCTCTTTTCTGTGGATAATACTTCCCAAGTAACTGTTAGCTACACAATATTACAAAGGCCATCTTTCCCAACATGCACACCTACTATCCAAAGGCTGGTATCCTTTCCACCTTCTCACAAAGGAATCAAAATGACTTCTGACTGACCATCAATGTATGACAGTTACTAGAAACCAAATGATTTGTAAGTCTGTCTCTGCTGTTGTGAGCCTCTCTTCATAGGTCCTGGGGTACGTGGGAAAGGTCTCCCTAAAGCTGCCTTCTTACCACATTTATATTAATGTAATTTTAAATTACTCCCTCCAGTCTCTGCTTTGAAGTCAAGCAGCTTAGAAGGTATGAATTTCATTAGGACAAAGCAGCTCTGTTTACTGAGAGGGCCATGATTCAAGCAGCCAAATGTCTCACATGAAAGAATTGAACCAAAGTGGCTCCTACACCTGGCAACCACGAGGCTCTGGTCAACTAAGGGTCTGGTGGCCATACTTAGTCATGGCACCAAAATAGCCAAACTTTCCCCACCCACCCAACCAAGTCAGAAAAAACCACAATTAAGTGCTACAACCATACTGGGAGAGAGGATGGAGAGCCTTGCTGTAGAGGATAGTTCTACTCATCTGTCCCAAGATACCACTGTTTCTCACAGGCAAATTAATAATAATCACACAGTAGCTGTTAGAATAGCAACCAAAGCACAAAAATCTCTTCTTGAGCAGTTTAGCTAGGACAAGTAATATATCATGTATAACGTGGGAGTATAAGGGATTCCCATTTGCACCTACCAGATATTGAGGCTCTAAAAATGTGATTCCTTAGCACACACAGAAACCTCCCACACTGAGGGAGGTTTGTGATTAATCAGGGTCTTGCCTCTGGGAAGCATAGTTCACAATGTTATGGCCCAATGAGATGACAAGGACTCTCTTAGCCAGAGACTGAATGAGACGCTGTAACTCCTTTGTTAACAAGGCTGCCCTGATAAAAGCAGAATGATGGTTGCTTTCCAAAAGTCTGCTAACCACAGCAGGACCCTCCACTTACTGCAACCATCTGAAAACTAAAAGCTGGTTTATTACAATGAGCCATTTGCCTGTATTACTTACTCCTTGCCTTTTCAAAGGAACACAATTAAGGGAACCAAGAGGGACCATTAAGAAGTTCACACTGCATCGACTTAATACATTGGCTTTACAGACAGGAATTTGTGTCCTGCAGGTTTATATACCCATAGCTATCACAGTAAGCAGAGCCCTAGAAATCTGATCCCCTGCATGTTCTGTCTCAGCAAGAGTTCTCACATAGCCCCAGGACTGCTTCCCTGAGAGGTGACTGACAGCCTGGATGCCTGGCCTATAATATCCTTTCTTCTCAATCAAGACAGAAAAATGACTGACCCTGAGTAAATTCAGTGCCTGGACCTTGTGCAGAACAAGTGGAAACAGAAAACCATCCAACAGGAAGGGACCTTACCCATCAGTCACAGCTAGAGTACCTGGTTCCATCCCCTTCATTTATAGATGACAAACCCAGTTCCAGAGAGGACCAGGACTTGCCCAAGAGTTTATAGAGTTCACAGCAGATCCATGGCCATAAAACTCAGTTCCTGGATTCTGGACCAGATTGGCCTCATTTTTTCTTCATCTGATCTGGAACACTTTCCTTCCTTCAGCTGTCTAATGAGAGCCCCTGCTCCTACCCAGACAATAAAGGGGGGGGGTGTTCTTTTCCTCTTGGTGCTGTCCCCTACCAGCAAAGGGATTAAAATCACACAGTAAAGCAATAAACTGCTCTTCTTCAAGACATTCTAGCTCCCACTGAAGAAGGCCAGTGTCATAGTGAATATGGTGATAACTAATTTTCAACAGAAAGGATTCTGCTCTTTACTAAATTACTTCTTAATCTTTTCTTCTCCCTCCTCCAGGGCTGGCAATAAATCAAAGCTGAAAAAATATATTTTCTGCAATGTGGGAAACAACACTGCTGCTACAGAGAAAAGCTGTGAGCAGCCACCACTGAACTGTGCTTAATGGAATGTCCAGATAGGGTGTGGGTGGCTTTCTGGAAGACACCATAGCAGCTGCAACCCTCATGAAAGCTTAGCACATCTGAGAACAGAGAAAACCACAGTCAGTCCCAAGGCAGCTGGCAGCCTATCCTGTCGGGTAAAAAAAATCTTAACAGTATATGTGTGTACACATGTATGCACGTGTGCATGTGTTAAATTTTTAAAAACCAGTTTCATGACTAGTCACAACTCTGACAAGCTCTCCTACAGCCAGGTACACTCCATCTTCCTTAAAGGCTTCTATGGGTCATTTTGCAACAACAAGCCTCAGGAACATGGACACAAACACTGGGGCGATGACTCCCAAATACAAAACGAAGTTTGAAGCAAAGGGTGTGGCTCAGTGACACAGCACTTTCCCAGAATTCGTGAGGACTTGGGTACGAACTCCAGCATCACAAATAAAAACAAAACAATAATCACAAAGTTTGATGATGCCAGTCTCTCTTGAGATGTGAGGTTTAGGGTTTTAAAACTTTGAGAATATAAGAAATAAAGATGGTAAAGACTACGAAAAAAATAAATAGCCCAGTTTTGAGAAGATCTATCCATTTAGACAACAGCATATGCTCAAAACCTGGCTGGATCATTAAAATAATAATGACTCAGCCATATCCCCCTCTATATTCATGTACCTATAGTAACCAGAAAATAAGAAAATTCAGTATTTTTATGGCCTTCCAAATACTGACTGTGCTGGTCTAATGGATCCAGAATTCCAAGGTATTCTAGAAGCAGCATGTTCTAGCAGATGATGAATCTCACATAAGACCCCCCTATCCAGAATAATAATATGGTAAGCCCCCTCACACCCTGTCAAACTCTGTGCTTTAGAAAGACTTAGGACCATGTGAATAAATGAATTAAAAAAAAAAAGAAAAAGAAAAAGAAAGAAAGTCTTAGGACAATGAAAAGTCTTGGTTATCTAGTATTTCTTTCTTTCTTTTTTTTTTTTTTTTTTTTGTGGTACTGGAGTTTAACTCAGGGCCTATACCTTGAGCCACTCCACCAGCCCTTTGTTGTGATGGGTGTATGGGTATTTTCAAGATAGGGTCTTGCAAACTATTTGCCCAGGGCTGGCTTCAAACCGTGATCCTCCTGATCTCTGCTTCCTGAGTAGCTAGGATTACAGGTGTGAGCCACTAGCACCCGGCTTCTAGTATTTCTTTAGGAGTCTTGCCCCTATCCTTAGGCATTAGAAATTTAATTCAAGAGAATTAAATTAAATTTAATTAAAGAGGTGGCACAAGGCATTTATGGAGAACCAGTCCCAACTGACTGTGCTCCATGAAGCAAACCTCTATTTACTAAAAAAGAAAAAAAAATGTGTAGGGATTTACTATATGCAATTATAACAGCTAGCAATGTATTATTACTCAGAAGTAATAATAAGAGACTTCAATTCTAGAGACCCTTAGTTGAGACATGACAAGCACTGTTAAATTAAGGGATAGAAAAAAATGAGAAAATTTATACCCAAAATAGAAATTCTCTCCCATCTCTTACAATGACTTTCACATTATAAATGGGTTTCCTTGGCTGGGTGCAGTGGCTCACCACTGTAATTCCACTTACTCAGGACGCAGATACAGGAAGATTCAGAGTTTGAGGCTAACATGGACAAAATTAGTTAGATCCTGTCTCAGAAACAAAAAATACATACAAAAAAGCAGAGGCATGGCTCTAGTGTTAAGAGCGCTAGAGCTATAGTGTTCTTGCCTGACACCCTGCATTCAAAAACAAACAGAAACCACAAACAAACAAACAAATAAAAAGGACTTCCTTGAATTTATACATTGTGTTTAATTAAAGCCTTCCTTTTGATCCCATGTGTTTATACTGAATACAAGAACCTGTCCAAACTCGCTAATGTGCCAGGTTTAGCCTTGCTCAGCAGGAGGTCTAGACAGCAGGGAGGAGGGGGATAACTCCAAATTTTTTAATAAAACACAAGTGTAAAAAAGAAAGGTGAAATTGTTCAGCAGGTGGAAGCCAGGACAAAATGCACGTTTTACTTTCCATGTAGTATGGTGGATCTATAGTCCACCCACCTGCAAGCGAGCTACATTAAAATTCTTTCAGTACTTTTGGGTAAGTTTGAAAGGTCTTGCTCCTGATTGCTTATACATACAATTCAAATTTAGTAACCAAATGGGTGATAAGAAAATGAGGAAGTGGGTTATGGATGTAGTGGTAGGGTGCTTTCCTAACATGTATAAAGCCCTGGTTCCCCAGCACCACACAAAAGAAAAAAGAAAAAGAAAGAAAATGAGAAAGCAAAGTCTTCTTTAAGCACACACTGAAACACTTTCCAGCAAACTCCTATTTTAGTGATGAGAATAAATCCTCAACCCTCTACCTCAGAAGCTGTCAAGGAAAAATACTTCTTATTTATGCGGTCTTCCTCCTCTTCATCGGGTGGTGGCTTTGCTGGAGGTGGTGGACGTTCTCTCTGCAGAAGAGAAAAAAATAAGTATTCCATTATCTCTCTTTTCAAGTATCGTTCTGGATTATTTTATTTTAGAAGAATATGTAGAAGAAGAATAATGTCCAGAGACTAAAGTTGCGGTTTCTAAGCAGAGAAAGAACCCTGTGCACACACACAAAGTCAATTAGCATGCTCTATAGCTTTTGGTGTCTGTAGCAAAGATCATCAACACCTCTGTCATACCCAAGACCACAATGATACACACCAGCACTGAAAACTTGTAACTGCCTCATTAGAAAATGTCCTTCATACCACTGATACATCAAACTTCAGTAAAGGAAAATTTGTAGTTCATTTTTCAGTCTACTTTACAAAGAGGAAACTCTAGATCAAAAGAATCAACTCATCGAACAATTTTAAATCCAAGGTTATTGAGGAGGTAATGAAAAAAGTAATCAACGACAAAACATTAATTCCTGTCCAAACTTTTAGTGTTGTAATATCAATCTATCCTACTTACTAGCAAAAGCTCAAATTTTAATCTCTTAGCCAGGTGAGGTGATATGTGCTATAGTCCTACCTATTGGGGAAGCTGAGCCAGGACAATCGAGCTCAGGAGTTCAAGGCCAGTCTGTGCTACATAATGAGAACTTGTCTCTAAACAAAAAACAAAGCAAAACATCTCTTATTCTTAGCCACCAACTTCAGTAATAAGTATTATATATCATTCATATAGGAAAACCTATGTCACCTAAGCCCATTTTGTCAGTAGTCTGCCTTAAAGCAGGGATTGGCAAGCTTTTTCTTAAAGGACCATACAATAAATAGTTTAGGCTTTGAGATCAATTCTGTTATCACAGTATATAAGCAGTTATAGAAAATATGCAAAAGAACATGTGGTTGGCTTCCAATAAAACTTTATTTATAAATATAGGCAGCTGTTGGTAGGTGACAGCTTGCAAACCCAACAACAGACCAAGAAACTCACTGAAGAGGGGACACTGGGTCAGTCAGACCAGGAGTAGACAATTTCAAGAATACCCAGAATGATCCTGGTGGAGGAAAGCTGAAAGCTAGAAACTGAAGAGAGATTTGCCCTTGCACCTGTAGTACCTTTAGCATCATTTTCATTCCAAAATTCCAGTCCCTTGTGCTAATCAGTGTTCCTACTGACAAGAAAGAGGTCCTGAAACAGAGAATGGTCCACAGGCTCATTTCGTGGCTTGCATATTAGTTTACCATGTTGCTAAAATGGGTATTTCAGAAACCTAGGGCAGAGGTGAATGCTAAATTATGCGAGAGGCCAAGAGGAACATTTTTCTCATGTTTTGGGAGCTACCAGCACTAGCATTTGGACATCTGTGATCTCTCTGTTAAGACATGTTTCTCTGTTCAGTATTATACTGCTATAAATCAGTTATCCCTACAGTCCCTGGAACCAAATGGATCCTCAATGGCAACAATTTCAGAGCAAGTATGTGTATTTAAGCCAGACAAAGCTATTTAGATTAGATTTCCCATTAAGTCCTACTTTCCCTACCCTTCCTTTCTTCGGAAGTACAGGAATGAGCATGGTCCCAGTGCCACCATGTAAGAAGGGAACATTTGGAAAACAAAATGAAACACAACACAAAGGACCCATCCTAGATGCCTTAGAAAGCCTAGAACGAGCAACACAAAAGCCTTTTGTGGAGGAATGACCATCAGGGACACCAGAGGAAACACAAGTAGTATGAGCCTCTTTTTTTCTAAGGTAAAAACTTTGGTACAGGGGCCTGGAACCACACAACTGATTTATTCATATCATTAACTATGTTTACTAAGAAGTACCCCTTGGCCACAATTAATCAGCAAGGGCCAGGAAGCCAGAACAGTCACAACATACACAAGCAAAAATATCAAAGCATGCACCCTAAGTATCAGTTTCTACTTAGCATGACAAGGGGAGGCTTGGTTCCTAGGGCAGGACAGAGCAAGAAATGTGTGAATCAATCATAGGAACTGTGTTTCTCAGTTACTTCAATACACCTAGACTGCTTCTTGCAAAGACTCCAGCTCCCCCTAATGGGCATCATCTATAAACACTATTTAAAGTAAAGCCTTCCTCCACACCTGGATGTGCTTAAGGCATTTGTGTCTAACAGTGAAAGAACTGAAACAACTACTTTAGTTTTCAGAAGCACACTTCTGTGGTGCTCACTTCTTTTCACCACTCACAAAGAGTTTTGTCAGTCATTGTGGGCTGCGACAAGACTGACAGACTCTCCAAGATCCACACGGAAATGCCTGGGACTGCTTCAGGGCAGAGCAGGGGAAGGTAAGGAGCACTTCCTACCACCCCACCCGACCCCCCCAAAAAAGCACTCCAAGAAACATCAGGCCATTCTAAGGGCACACTTGGAAAGGCTAAGGATTACCTAGCAGCCAAAGGAGTATCAAAATGGTCCCATGCCAGACTCAGACCAAAAGGGAAAGGCCACAATGCTTCTAAAACAGGAAGAAGTAACACCGGTTTCCAGAGATCCTGGAGATCCTGGAATCCTATTAGAGCAATGGTCAGTTTAGCCAAAGGCCAATGGCAGAAACCACAGATGATTATGCCTATCAATAAAGGAAGGAGGATAAGAGGATCAGGGATTCCGGCTTTAACTCAGTACAAATCTAGGTAGAGAAGAAGAGAGGACCAGGGACCAGGACAAGACTCAAAGTAAAAGCAAGTACTAGACAAAGAAGTCAGTACAAATCTAGGTAGAGAAGAAGAGAGGACCAGGGACCAGGACAAGACTCAAAGTAAAAGCAAGTACTAGACAAAGAAGCAGTAAGATGTGATGGACCTTAAGACAGAAAAATGCAGAGCTGTTCTCATTCTATTATCTCAGTGGCTGGGGGTGTTATAATTGGGTAAAATAGAACTAATAAATAATAGATTAATAATTACAAATTTCTAATAAGTAAATACAATATCTGATTAAGCCTTGCTACACTCCTGTTGGTAACAGAACTTGTCTAGATCCACATGGCTAATTCCTTGAGGACAATGGAAGGTAAGCAGATAAGAACTCATTTCATTGTGTACTTCTGCTCTCCAGAAGGAAAGCAAACGATACTCAGCAGAGATCCTAAGGGCACAAGCAGCACTAAGGCTAAATAGGAATAAAAGGCTTTAATTTGCTGTAGGCTCATGAAGAATGGAAAAACACAAAGTGGTTATATTGAAATTGGAAAAAACAAAATTCTACTTCAATGTGAGGTTTGTATGGTTTTATCCACTAAACAAGAGAAACTTGACAGAGCCCCAGCTCAGTGAAGAGCAGAATAAGTGGGCTCCAGGCCTCTGAAATGCCAGCTGGCACCAGGTGTCACACTGCCTCTTCCCAGTGCCCCACAGCAGCCAAAACAGCCCCCAGCAGGTTCAGGCCCAGGGCCACATACAGGCCTCACTCCAGCAGTTCTTGCTCCTGTGGCCTCGGTCTCCTTGTTCATGGAGTCTCTGTCAGATGATCGCCCGCTGGCCATACTGTCTAAGGAATGGCAGGAGACAGCATTGTACAGTGCCTCATAAGGACCCTCTTCTTCGGCATTCGTGTCAAAATCGATGATCAGTTCAGTTACAGCTTTCTCCACATCACCTGAAGGAAGGTTGGAGGGCCACAGAGTCAATAAAAGGGGGCACAAGCTCAGGTTCTAGCCACTGCAGCAATCCAAAGACTCCTAACAATCTGAACTTGACAAACACTAACTTGGAGCAGGAACATGATTATTTTGTTCCAGGAACAGGAAAAAATAAAGTTTTAGCTGCTTTTTACACTGTGATGTAAACACTGTGATGTAAACAGTGTGGAGGGATGCAGCTCAGTGGTAGAGCTTTTGCTTAGAGTATGCTGGGTTCTATCTCCAGCCCTGAAAAAAAAAAAAGAAATCTTGAAATCTATAAAAAATCCTTCTCAAGACTTTTATGAAATCTCCAAATACCATGAGGATATAAACTTAATCTATAAAGTGTACCAGAGTGTAACTGAAAACTGAATTCTTTAGTAAGAGCCTCCTCATGCTCAAGCAAAATAGAGAAGAGCAAAGCCTTTCTGAGAGAGGCGCTATGCTGCTGGTGGACTCATGACACTGAAGACTGTTAGAAATGGCATGTATGGGTGGCTTGCAAATGGTCAAAACTATAAATGTAAACTCCTGAAAAGCTAAGAACATAGTGAATGATTAATCCTATTGATAGTAAATTATGAGGTTAAGGAAAAGTACAAGGAGGAAGGGAGACAGGGAATCCACAGCACAGAGGCTGGACACCATTAACCTTCTACCTCTGCTCTCCACTGGAAGGTCCCTTTCCCTTTTTCATTTTTAGCTTTGTTCTGTTTCTCCAGCCTTTTTCATTATGATTTGCATTTAGGGGACAGTGTCACTGAACTTTATTTTACCTTTGTCATTCATCATGTAAGGACTGGAGGCATGACTCAAGCAATAGAGCACCAGACTTTGAGCTTGCAAAGTCACGAGTTCAAACCCCAGTACTACCCCTGCAGCCAAAAGAAAGAGTTCATGGGTCATTCATCATACCAAAGACCCAAAAGAATGCTCAAGTGATCTGAAAAGGGATCCTACTATTGATGGATAGGCAGGACTGTCTAAGTTAGCTTTCAGACCATATTTGTTGGCCAAATGACCTATTTCCAAAGTTGGCCATGTACATACCTACCAACCAATTGATAATCATTAAATATTTTCTGCGGGTCAATTATGCATAAGGCACTTATAGTGTGTAATGGGAAAGGAAGAATTTACTGGGATCTGAATTCATCTTGAGATGATCCCGCCAACTACACATCCCAGAGCCAACTGTAAAAATAGAGAACAAAATAAAAAGTTAGGGAAGAAGACGCCCACCATCCAAGGCCTATGCTATGTCCAATGACACTTCATATGGCAGTTGGAAAAAATGAACTGAATACAAACTTACTAAGTATTCACAAACCCCTGATATTATTGTTTGAATAAAGATTTTCCATTCTGTCCAAGAATGCTCAACTCCTTTCAAGTTGAGCACCCCTTTCCTGGCAGAAGAGTTGCCTCACCCTGAGACTTCTGTGCTATGGAGTCAATGCCGGAGAGGAGAGGTGGCTGGAGTGTGGAGGTTTTATCTACTCCTTTTGCATTTCTTTTTCCAGTCATGTGATCTATATGGAAAGATTAAAAAAAAGAAGAAAAAAAGCTGTACCAACTACAAATGCCTTGGTTTGGTTACTAGGTCCCCCGTCACTTGGACAGTGAGATGGACTAATACCTTCAATAAGTGCTGCTATCTGCTGGCTCTTTTGAGAAGGCAGTTCCCGGACAGTGTCAAGGGCAGTCAGTCCATGGTTGTCTTTTATGTTGACATCAATTCCTAGAAAGGCACACCAGGTGGACCAGAAGAATGAGCATTTTTTAAGCCAGCTTCAAAGGTCAAATTCCAGGACACCTAAGGCTCCCAAAAAAGCACAACCAATATTTTTCATTCACAGCCATTTAATCCAGCTATTTAGAAGCAATTCACACACTTCTAATCAATCAGCAGAACACACATACACTGGGTTCAAATGCAGCCAGCAAAAACTTCCTCCCTCTGGGGAGGCTGGGGAGAGACAATCCCATCCCTGGCATGCTGTGTAAAGGAGAGCACTGCCGACCTCTCACCTGCAGCCAGCAGGATTTGCACCACATCGGTCTTGCCAAACAAAGCAGCCTCATGCAAAGCACTGCCCATCTCCGTCTGGAAAGCAAATGAGAGCGCAGCGGGATGTCATTAGAACAGTTCAGCATGGCTTCACATGACAAACGGGACACGGATAAGAACGGGAAATAAACTACACAAAGCTCTCTGTCATTATCTTTCCAACTTTTCTTGTATGGATCCCAAAACCACGATCATGGTACATACATCAAGGCCATTTGTGTGCTACCAGGAAGCCACATGGGAGTAACTATTACTCTTGGAGCCACCTAGCAGTGAAACTTCCAAAAACTCTACCTTCTTGGGTAGAGGAATAATGTTAAGAAAAGTACAAGCGAAAAACAACTTCACTTCAAATGTAGCCTGGCCAATACCAAGCTTAAGGACCCATTCACCTGAATGAGGAAGACTAAGAATGAAGGGAAATGCTGAGTCACACTGGCAGCATCACACTGATGAGACCTAGAAGGTACAAAAAAGTGTCCATGGGAACACACATATAGGAAGATAATGAAACTTTTCTGATTTCTGAGAGACAGTCCATAAGCATGTCTTTTCAGGGTTTAAGGACTATAGTTCATTTCCTGAAAAGAAACAAAAAAATAACCGACTCACTCAAAGAGATTTGTCTCTAAAGTGTCACATTAAAATGCGTCAACAAATGGAAGAACCTGAAAAGTGATGTGAAACGTGCTAAATAAGAACACAGCCCAGAAGCATGGTACTTGTGCCTTTTCCAAAATGACTAAGTCCCTACACCTGCAAGGAGTATCTGCTCTGCTACCTGGTAGTTGCTATCCATGCCAGCATCCAGGAGGACCTGGACCACGGCCTTGTGGCCATTCCTTGCTGCCAGGTGCAGAGGGGTGTGCTTCTTAGTGTTGCAGCTCAAGAGGTTGGGGTGTGCGTTGAGGAGCATCTTCACCACCTCCAATCGCCCGTAGAGCGCTGCCAGGTCAAGAGGTGTCTCGAATTTGTTGTTGCGCATGGTGGGATCTGTGAGCTCTTCCAAGAGCACCTTCACCACCTCCGTGTGGCCATACTGTGCTGCACAATGCAGGGCTGTCTCATTGTCGTTGTTCTGAAGGGTTAACAAGCACATCGCATCAAAAAGGGAACTGGTGAGCTAGCATCTGATCAGGATTATCACATAAAACCACTGAAATTTAAATGAGAAAAATAGCAGCAATACCTGGGGACTAACATAAGTCAGAATCCAGGCAGACTCCCTGGCAAATAAGCTTGCCTGCTACCATCAGCCACTTCTTCCCTCACTTCCTGCAAGAGGGGAGCAGCTGCTTCCTCATCTTTCATAGTCCCATGTATGCTGTGAAGGATGTGTCTCCAGATTTTAAGGAAATGAACAAGACAATGTGGCAGGCATTTGGTAGAAGTCCCAGCACAGATGAATACTAATTGTATCACTGCCATTGTTTTCTTTTAAACTTCAACTGGTTTTACAATTTGTACATTTTCAATTTATGGTTCTGATTCTGGATTTGTCAACCATCCACTGCCTTTCACACAGCTTTTTAAAAAAGAGTTTGTCAACTGTGTAGCTTCTGCATGCAAATCAATCAGTCAACAATGAAACTAAGAGAGCAAAGCAACAAAAATCACTCTCAAGGTATCAGCCAACAGTCATTTCCAGAGGAGCAAGGCACTTGGTTAAGTCGTAGAGGGACATGGGAACCCTGCCACTGCCCTGTGCCTACTCCAGGAGCCTGCACCAATTAATGCAAGCAGAGTTCACTTCATTAACATAGCAGCCTACACAGGGAAATGTTTCTTATTGTAAAAAAGGTACAGACACCTGGAATGTTTGGTATGAGAGGTGCAAAATATTCAAATGTAACATCGTCATCAATTCAAATTCATAACCCATGGTTCTCTAATGCCAATTCTGTTTTAAACTAAACACAGTGTTGGATAAAATGGGAGTATGGACTTTTACAACCATCAGAAGCAAAATGTTAGTCATTCCAATTATGTTCTTCCTTTTGTTATTGCTGATAATGTACAGTTAGAATAGAAATTACTTCCACAACCTCTCCTTTTTAAGAAGCACTAATGAAAATAATTCTCCCACAACATTTTGTGATTCCCAAGTTTATCCAGGAGGCTTCTGCCACTTTTGGGAAACAAAGTTTAAGAGGGAGGTTGTCCACTATATGTTAATATTGTGCACCTTTCAGTGGTCAAGAGGTAAAAAATATTTCTAGAGTTGTTTTAATTCTATCAATGACATTAAAAAGAATGAATTAGGAGTTACCCAAACATGCATGCAATTCCATCTGCTTTTGATCTGGCATTTGACTGCATCATTTTTTCCAGCTACACCAAGTATACCAGAAAGATGCAGAGCTGCTGGGAGCAAGGCCCAAAAAAGGCCAAAATGATGGCAAAGAAAAATTTTTAAATGAAGTAAGGACAGAGAGAGCGGTAGCAGGAGCACATGCAAAGACAAGAGCACACAAATAAATGCAGAGGAAGGGGCACTGAGCTCCAACCCAGCTCAGGAAGAGCAGCTGCTGAGAAAGTGCAGACTTCACTGGCCACTGAACATAGTCCATTAGCAATGGCCTCCTGTGACAGCAGGGCCCCACAGAGCAAGTTCCACATCAACCTGGAAGTCTGGAGGAATACAAATGCCGGGCGGAAAGCAAATGCTTGGGGCTTCTATGCCAAACAAACCAACTGGAACACCCATTTGGAATCCCTGTTTTCTATTACTGTGGCCTGAGTACCCTGAGCAAACTCAGAGCTGTCCCTTAACTGTCCGCTGATGCAAACACAGCTGCATCAACAAAACTCACGGGAACTTTCTGTAGGGTGATGCTGGGGCAGAGTGGCAACTCAAAGAAGCTTAAGAGGATTCTCTAGGTTTTACATCTCAAGATTAGCATGACAGCAAGGGCCAAGAAGTCAGATTATTCTTACTAAAATTCCAGTCCAGAAAAACTTATGTTTACTCTAAAGCAAGCAGTATGGGCTCTTTTTCAAGTTGTCACCCTACATCTAGAGTAATTTGTCCTTGATTTTGTAAAAACTATGTTATTAGGACCTACAGAAATATAAAACTCTATCCAGCAAGAATAAAATATGAGGGCTGGGTATGTAGCTCAGTGGGAGAACACATACTTATAGCACATGCTTAACACTGCATGAGGCTGGGGGGTTCAGTCTCTACACTCTCCCTCTTTGCCCCTGCATGTAAAAAAGAATAAAACATTTTTGTTTTATTGCCAGTATGAAGACCATTATCACAAAGCTTCTCTCTTAAAGGCAAAATCTTGATCACTACTGGCAAATTCCCTGCCTCATGCTAAAAATGGACAACCACATCTCTACAAAAACCTATGCTCATATTTACTGTGTAGAAAGCACCTGAGTATGTTTCAGTCTTACCAGACGTGGTCTGTCTGGTAATTATAACTCTCTTGAGTTTAAATAGTGGTGACCACACTGTACCACTGAACACAGGCCATCATGATGAGTTCTTATTACTGTTTCCTTTTTGAGCCTGACAACTAGCAAGTTAAGAAGTCCTTAAGTATTGGTTCATAGATCGTCAAAAAAAGGAGGATTCTAAAGAGAGGCACAGACTGCTAATCGTCTAGAACCCTTCCCTTTCACACCTTTCAAATAACACTAGGGTGCTCACACCTCAAGAGTTTCCAGAACCTCATTACTATCAATCTGTTCTGGAGATGAAATATCCCAATTCCCCCAAAGCCTTGCGCAAACCCTCCATTCTTACCCATCCTGAGATTCCCTTGTACTTTTCCTTGCTTTGGCCAATAGCTATAAAAAAAAAAAAGGTGGGGGGAATTGGGGAATTTCTATGCCTACTACTCCTTACATTTGAAGAGTCCATTCGCTTGTAAATCCACTACAAAAAAAAAAAGCAGCAGAAAATTGTACAGAAACATTCCTATGGCCTTTCTCTTCTTTGAACTATGTCAGGATCATCACCTCTCAGAGCTTAGATTACAGCTCAAGGGCACACTTAGTCATTGTTGACAGGGACACCTAGGCTACAACTCTGCAGCAACAGTGGTACAGGCTCTATCTAGATATATCACAATCAGAAAGAAAGGAAAAACTAGGTCTATAAGAACAAGAGTATGTAAGGGAAACAAGAGAACTGAGTCCATGATGTAAAAGAAGAGTAAGAGTTATTCTTAATCTTCATAATTACTCTGTAATACTCTGGAAAGACCAACTCTGACCAAAGTGGAAGGTTTAGGGAGACAGACAGCAGCTAAATATAAGGAACTGAAAATCAGTGGAATTCAAGAAGAGGCTGCCAAGCAGTAATGAATTGTTTGCTGTTAGGAAAAACAAGTAAGTGAAATAAAGGATAGATGCATGACCTTTCAGGGATAGAAGGAAGTGGATTCCTGCTCTGGTTGCAAAAAAGTTGGTCAATGTCAGTGGTTTTTAAACCAGCTTCATTTGAAAATTACATGGGAGCTTTAACTGTAGTCAATCCAACCCCAGACTTGCCAAGGAAGCACCTCAGAAAATGAAGCACTGGAAAGTATTTTAAAAAATTCCTGGGGCATGGTGGCACACATCTACAATCCCACACTCAACTCTGAGGCAGGAGTATCATGGGTTCAAGGCCAGTGTAGGCTATATAACAAGACCCTGTCTCAAAAAACCAAGGGCTAGGGGTGTAGTTCAGTGGTAGAGTTGCTTGCCTATCATGTGCAAGGTCCTAGATTTTCCATTCCCAGCACTGCAAAATGAAAAACAAAACAGAACACTCACCTAGCTGCAGGCACTAACTTAAGCAATCAGTTATCATCATCATCAGGAGACAAACTGACATCATGTGCCTTGTGATGTGACGCACTAAAGAAGACATGTCTGTTCTGTGGTATTCCTGCCAGAAGCATGTAACCTGCGTCTAATCATGAGAGACTGCCAGATAAACCTAAACTGAGGGATAGTCATGTCATGATTGGCCTACGCTCTTTAAAAAAATCTCAATATCAGAAAAGGGAAGAAAGGCTGAGGAATCTTGGGTCAGACCCTGGTCCAGAAAAAAAAAATTTCTAGTGCTTGCTTTGGCAGCATATATGCTAAAATAGGAATGATACGAAGATTAGCATGACATGCAAATTCATGAAGCATTCCATATTTTTTAAATGCTTTAAACAAGACTGTGAGGACAAAAGAAGTGAACATATATCCTATATTAGATAATTGTATCAATTTTGAATTTTCTGAGTCTAATAATTGTATCACAGCTTTATTAATGAACATCCTTGTTCTCAGATTAGTTTGGAGAAGTAATTAATACTAAATGGACATATTTAGGCTTAAAGAGCCGTGATATGAGTGACTTAATTGCACATAATTCACCATCAGCTCTAGCAACAATTACACATGTACATACAAACAGAAAAAGCAAAGGGAACAAAATGTTAACAACTGGAGCAAGGAGAAGCATACACTGCAGCTCACTGCATTACTCTTACAGCCTCTTCTAAGTTGGGAACTTATCCAAATAGGTTTTTAAAAGCTTCCCAGGTGGTTCTGGCACCCCAACATGCTCAGGAGCATCTGGCAAGCTGATCTAGATAAAACTCAAGTTCTGAGACTGTGACTTATCTTGAAGTGGACAGAAAAACAGATCTACCCTAAAGCCAATTTGACTATTGTTTTTAAAAGGAGACAATGACCTTTACATAGCTCCACCTTAGCTATGGGTAATTTACATCTGGCCTGGTTTATGCCAACTTCATGAACAAGAAAAGGCCCCAAATGTTGAAGGGGAACATCAAAGCTCATGCAAACCACATCTGTTCCCAGAAAGGCATCTAAGACTTCTAAATTTTTACCGGCTGCCTGATAGGATTTACCACTGAAGTATAAATTAGCAAAAACAACTCCTAGATACAAGCCAGGTTAACAAAATCCCAGTGAGTCAGGACAAAACCTAGGGAGGCCAGACAGAATCAGCTCCAGAAGGGCTGACATTCTCAGTGCAGTCAAACACCTCTGCCCCTTCATGCAGTGTACACCATTTGGACCTTCATGGGAAGAGAGAAAGCACAAGACAGCAGTTCCAAAGAGAGACCTATGTTCTTGCTACATTCAAACTAATTTTCTTTTATGTGTGCAAAATCAAAGGATAAGAACAGTGCTTTCAAGAACCAGTCATAGTCTTTAATCAAAGCTTTATAAGCTAAAAAAAAAAACCACTGAGTGGAAAAACAATAACCTCAAGGTCCCTCCCTACAAAACCAAACCCTGACTAGACTAACTAAGCAAATGTTTCATTAAGCATCATCTACTAGGAACAAAGACAGATTCTTAAAATACCTTTTCAGAAATACCACATTACATGTAATTTTAAAAATTCAGATCTCAAATATTACTACTAGTTACTAGCTATTTTTTACTTTATGTACATGATCTTATTAAAACTTCAGAACAATCCAACAAGGTAGGCAGTAACATCTCATTTTACAAAAAAGGAAACCAAGGTTCAGAGAAATCAAGCAACTTACTCAAGTCAACAAAAACAAAAAGCAGCAGCCCCAAACTCAGCTTCAGGTCTCACAAGAAAGCCTGTGGCCTGTAAGATTTCCACTCTATTGCTCTACTCCTCGCCCCCAACCCACAGCATCTAAAAGAGATGTCTTCCTAAAACAGAGTTTTCTTCCTAAAGGGAAAAAACAAAACAAAACTCAGAACTTGAAGAATGGGCCAAAAGAGAGTTGATGTGCACTCCTACCTCAGGTCAAACTACTTCTCTACCATTAAGACCCCAAAGCTAAAATCTTCCACAAAGCCCTACTAGGTCAGCCCATTGGGAAACTGAAGTGGCTAAATCAGCCTTGCTCAAAGAAAAGCATGAAATTTCTGCCTTGTTTGTTTTTGCTTTGTTTTGCTATGGGACTGGGGATAGAAAGAGCCTCACACGTGGTATCTACACCTGATGTTATGTTTCCTTTCCCCCAGGGCAGCTGTATTTGGAGCAAGTAAAAAGGTAGCTAATGTGGATAATGCAGTGTCTCAACCAAATTCCAGATGGCTGTCATCTGAATAAAAGCCTCAAGATGGAAACACAGCTTGAAAGCACTAAGGAGAGGCCATCACCCATCTGCCTAATAAGCTCTGCCTCTTCCATGGTGAAGGCCAGAGGACGGAGAGGGTTGGGCTGGTCACCACATGCCTATCAAACCTACCATATGTCCCAGTCAGCAGGCAAATGCCCTATGTAGTCTGCTACATAATTTCCTATTTCAGAGCCCTTCATGGGTCAGAAGTAACCAAGCAGAAAGAGAAGATAATGGCTGGAAAGACTGGACTGAGGCTGTAAAGCATCATGCAGAATGGCACAAACTCCCAGAAAAGAAAGGAGAGTGATGAGCAACAGCTTTCAAAAGAAGAAAACAAAGTCACCTATGTCCATTCCCCAACACCTCCAAGGCTATTGAATCATGAAAGAAAATCAGATTCCACTTCAAAAGAAATATAGAAAGCTAACTAAAATTTTTTTTAATTTCAGGAAGTACAATTTAATCACTTTTCTGTGTTTATTCAAAAGTAAGCTAATTTGTTTAAATTTTTCTTTTCTGAATTTAAATGATTTTGGAAATCACAATAGTAAATTAAGCATACAATGTGGTCCTTTCTATTTCCCCATTGCTGCCACTTCAGATGTACCAACCTTTTCAGAGTTAGTACGGATTTTTAAAATAAACCTAAACTCACTGCAGTTTCATTTTCCCATTCCCAGACAAGCCAAAAGCAGATGGGCCAAAGTGGACAGCAGTCAGGGTGAGCAGGAGCCTGAGTGGACAAGAGTAGAAACCAGAGGACCACAGAGGAAGTGCAGTACTGAGAAATGATGCAGAGAAATCCTGGCAGTAAAGTACACACCTTGGCATTGATATAAGGGTCAAAGGGGCCGTACTTTTTGAGTTCTTTGATCTCAAGAGCATTCTACAAAAAGGAGAGGAAAGGAAAATGTGATGATAAAGTAGATGAAATATATCAAAGCAATACATAGCCCCAAGGGGGCCCAACACTAAAACAACACGGATCTGCCCTCTGGATGCCTCACAAAGAAGTTAATGGAGAAGACAACCTCCAGGGCACCTCATTACCCCCATTTTATCCAAGTAACCAAAGAGATCCACATGAATGCTTTTTAAATAATCAATGTAGTGCTTATAACTACCTAGAATCCATTAGTTTCTTCAAGGTACTGCAGACATCTCACCCAGCCTCCACCCCATCCACCTACCTCCCAGGCACTCAAAGCACTGGGTTGGTGTCCACCTATTAATGAATACTCCAGGCAGGAGGCAGCTGGGAACAGGACAAGCTAGCACACTCAAGTGGCTCAAAAACATAAGCAGCTGTGTTCCAAGGCAGAGGTGGGCAGACAGGATTAGAAATGGTTGCTGAAAATTGCTTAAATAAGGACTTGTGATCAGTTTTTTAACACTGAAGAATATTAGTTATAAGCAAGCTTCTTTATATATTTCTTCCAGAGGAAAAATATTGTCAATGAAATCAGGAGGAATAAAATTGCATTTAGATTCTAAAGAGGCAATTCTAAAGAGACAATTTTCATTTCAAACGTTATATACAGACATCCTCCACTGGTGATCTTAAGTGTCATTCACTTACCTAGAAAATACAGCCCATAAAGGGAAAGGTAAACTGGCTGACAACAGTCTACACACAACCTCCAGATAGAGATATCTGAGACCTGTAAATTTCTCCCATCTCAGAGAGCTGTGCTTCTCAGAATCAAGTTGCATGGGTGTGGCTGATAGATGGACTTGCCAGAATGATTTCTTATTTTTTTAGGTAATTTAACAATTTCCTCTCAGCAGAGTCATTAGGAAAACAGTCCTATGCTTACTGACAAAGAGCAGCGAGCAGCATCTCCCTCATTCAAGCAATGAGAAAAGCACCCACTTCAGATCAGAGCAGGGTGGAACACAGGAGAATGGCCTGTTGTGTATCAAAAGACCATCTCCTCCCAAACAGGCACACAGACTCTGATTCAAACCACAAGGAGTTGGATTCATGAGAGGCATAGCTCAACCTTGAATAATTCAAGTATAATTTTCCCAGAGAAATAAAGGTATAGAAGAAGAGGTGTATTCTGAGAGTACTTAAATCCAGAACCAATGTAAGGGGTTTTTTTGTGGCTTTTTTTTTTTTTTTTAAAGTAAAGACAGGGTAGCCTAGAACGCTAGACTCAAACTCTCAATTCTCCTACCTCAGCTTCCTGAGTAGTGGGGTTACAAACCTGTGAACCACCAAATCCAGCTTAGGCATCTTTTCTTGAATGCTGCCTTTCTTACTTCCTGAGAATTATCTCTGTTCTTTTCAAAGTATACTAGCTCTTCAATTAACATCAGAGAACACCATGAAAATGACCTTCGTTCCCCTGGATCACCTCCAATCACATTTCTGATTTGTGAGTTATTTTTTCAGCACTGGCACAAGTACTTCCACTTCAGCATGGTTTTTGTTTGTTTTGTAGCATAGGGGATTGAACCTAGGATCTTGTGCACTACCACTTGAACCATATCCCTAGCCCTTTTGATTTTATTTTGTTGTTGAGATAGGGTCTCACTCTCACTACCTTTGCCCAAGTTGGCCTCAAATTTGAGATTCTCCTGCCTCCACCTCCCAAGCAGTTAGGATTACAAGTGTGCACCACCACACCTAGCCACTTCTGTACATTCTGATGTATGTAAAACAACAACATGGCTCAGTCAGTACTGGCAAACACTGGGAAAGTTGTTTTGCCATGTTGGTTGCAGAAGCACAATGTACAGTTAAGCCCACAAGTTTGAAACTGACTATGCAATTTTGAAGGACTTGCATTATTTTAAATTTTGCATGTATAGTGTTGTGTGTGTTTATTTTTTATAGGTTATTCCAAATCCACATGAGTCAGATGCAAATAAAATACATGCTCACAGTACACTAGAATGGGTAGAAGCAGGAGGAGGGAAGTCATATGTAGGGTACAGAAGCTGGCTCCCTGAATGGGGGCTCTTGGACTGAGGTGGTGATGGGGCAGTGACAATCTGGCAGTAGCTGAATGTAGGGAGGAAAGTCTCCCTTCTTCCGACCTGCTCATTAACTCTCGTGTGCGAGGGCCCTTGATGGATGAGCAGCCGCACTATCTGGGCATCTCCTTTCCAGGCTGCCAGGTGCAGGGGATAACAGCCTTTAGAGTCAGCCACATTGGTCAATGCGTCGTTCCTCAGAAGGACTTCAACTACATCCCTAGAAGGCAAAAAATCAGTCATGAGTTTGTAGAACCCAGAAGTCTTTCCTGCTACCAGGTCTTTACATCTGTACAGAACAAAGCCCTTCATAGATATGACTCATTGGTTATCCTGTCTCTTCCTGAGCTCATTGCCAGGCTTTTCCTTTTACCACAGGAGCTACTTGACACGTTTTACATGCGTGTCAGAACTGTTGTGAGCCACTGACTCATCGCCTCCCCAGAGGGCTTTCTTGATAGTCCATCTATTTTCCAATACTTTGAAAACATCTGGACTACTTGTCTAAACCTTGCAATATTTCCTAGTTGTGATGCTGAAGTACCATTCAGGGACAGATTTACATAACATTCGTCAAACACAGCCAAACAAGACAAGGATCAATCACTATTTACTGCATTGTTCAGATGATTTAGTGGTGTAGGAGCTAAAAGTGGGCAAGCAAAACAGAATTATAATTGTTTTAAACATAAACCGGACACACATGGTATCATTTGATAGCTCCAGAAAAAGGGATTTGGCTTTCTTCTTCATGACACCACTAATTAAACACATTAGGTCAAAGAAAATCCTCTCTATAAATAAAAACACCATCTGGAGATGAACTTGGGTAATAAGCTACAGTCCTTTGAGTTCAAGACTCATTTTCATTCGGGTTATTCCACTACTCATGAGAGAAGGGGTCTCTACAGGCTCCTTCTTAGTTGTAAGATGGCCACAGGAGAGACACAATGGTCATATTCAATACATTGTAGAAAAGTTTAGCACTGAAGGAAGCAACCAAGGTCTCTTTTTTTTTGCACACTGGAGCTAATCAGATTGGGCCAAATGTTGGAAAAATAATATAGAATACTGAAAAGTGAGGAGCTAAGGATGTGGCTAGTGGTAGGCTACATGCTTTACATGTGTGAGGTCCTGGGTTGAATCCCTAGCACCAAGGAAAGAAGAAAAGGGGAAAAGAAAAAATCTATAGTGATTCCAATAATCCCTCCTCATAAAAACTAAGCTTCTACTGCTCTTCTTCCATAGTACTTTGCTCCAAACAATTTTTTAACACCCTTTATTCTGTTACACTCTTGTTTCCGTTCTTCTGCATCAAGGCAAACTCACTTCTCAGGCTCCACAAGCATTCCTGCCCTGTGCTGGACCATCATAGCTCCCTAGGTATTTAAGTCTCTGCTTTCTCTCTGATTCCTACTTTCTTCAGGAAACGTTCCATACAAATGCCACCCAAGTCCTAATAACCTCCTTCCTTCAGATGATTAAATAGGCTAAATTATTTATGTATTTTCCCCTTAAAAATGGCAGCAGGAAAGAAGACAGAGTAAATAAATAACAACTTTAACAGAAGACAAGTGTCCCATGCCTACTCAATCTATTTTCAGTTTACAAAGGAGTCAGTCACCTAAGAGATTTCAGCCCCTTCATGATCTGGCTGCGTCAAATTTCGTCTTCATATTTATATCCCTGTATGACACTGGAACACTCCATATGGGAAAGGTACAAGCAGAAGGAAAGATAAAATTCAACCTTTGGCTAAAGATTTTTCAAGGGAAGGGGCTGGGAAAGGAAAGGATATTTCAATTATACACTGAAGAGAAACTGAGGAATTCTGCATGGAGAGAATTTAGTCTGCTTTTCTCTGTTCCTCAATGCCACTGCTTAGCCAACCTTTATAGGAAGCAAAAAGACACCCTGAGAGCCCAGGCTCTGCAGGGTGAGCAGGAATGTCGCACACTGGTACTTACTTATGCCCATTCAAAGCAGCATGGTGCAGTGGTGTGTAGCCGGTGCTGTCCACACAGTTCACATTTGGCCCTCTCCACATGCTATGGGGGGGGGGAGGAAAAAAGAGAGATATTTCAAAGGCTAAAGTCACAAACCAGAACCAGAGCCAGCTAGTTACTTAGGAAAGGTGTCGGGGTGGTGTTTAACCACACTGGAGTCCTCCAAATGACTCCTCATGATGTATACTACAGAAATGCATAGCACAGAGGGTGCACAGTGGTTTGCTGAGCAGATTCAAGTGCAAGCCCACAGTGTCACCACTGAGAACTTGTTTGCATCCTTCATCTTACTTGGGCCTATCTTACTCACTTAGTCCAAGACTTGTGCCTGTGAGTGCTCTCAGTTCACTAAGAGGTCACCCAAAGCATCATAAAACCAAACCACTCAGTCAGATGCAGATACTGACTGCAATGCAGGTGAGCACCCACCCATGCTGGTAATTAGCCTAGGAGAGACCTCATTCAACACAGATCACACAAGCAACAAGCTTCAACCATCAGGGGCCAACATCAAAGAAGAACCAGAATATATGTGCTAAGATGCAAATGACAACTGTGTCTTTCCACTGTAAATATAATTGGCCTCTGCAACTGTGGATTCCACATTCACAGATTCATTCAGCTAACTGTGGATCAAAAGTATCCATTAAAAAATGTATCTGTACTGAGCATATACACACCTTTTTATCATTATTCCCTAAATAATATAGTAATAAAAACTGTTTGTGTGGTATTTACACAGCATTAGGTATCTAAAGATACTTAAACAACTTAAAATATACAGGAGAACATGCATAGCTAATACATAAATCCTACACTGTTTTATATAAGGAACTTGAGCATCTGCAGATTTCGGTATCCTCAGGAGGTCCTGGAACCAATTTTTCTTGGATCCTCAAGAATGACTGTATGCCAATGAGTGTCTTATCTGAATCAGAAATACCATAACAGGGAAGCAAAAATGTCACCTTATTCAGTCCTCAAACCCTTAATTCTATTTTCTGTTTTACGTCTCACTGCATTGGCCAGAGCTTCCAAAATATTAAGTGGCAGAGGACAACCTTGTTTCCTTTTCCTTATATTAGAAGCATAAAAATGTTTCTAATGATTTGAGATATGTACTATGTAACATATAAACACAGTATATCCCCTCTTTAAATTATTATTTATTTACTTTTTATTATTCTGGGATCAAACTCAAGGGCTTCATGCAAGCTAGCCAAGCACTCTAATTTTTTTTACTAGAGACAGTTGTTTAATGTAAATGCATTTTTTGCATCTATGCAAAAAATTTAATGACCTAAATATGCTATTAATAGGTTCCTTGGAGTTATTCTTTCATTCTTGGAATAAACCTCATTTGATCATTATCCATTATATCCTTATTGGTGAAATCTATTTAAGACTATATTGCTTTCGATTTTCATATCTATATTCATAGTGAAGCTTGTCTAAAGTTGTTACTTTTTTTGCAACTGTTATTAGATAATACCAGTGTTAGGTTTGTGATAGAAGCAGCTGTCTACTTATTTCCATATTCAGAAATCATTGCTATAGAGCACTAAAACTATAAACAATCACTGGCAAAACTATCTAGGCCCAGAGAATTTAAGCTCAGATGTTGAAAGCAGTATTACTTATAACAATTAACATCTTGGAAATAGATATCAATAAAGAAATTATTACAGCTACAATAAGGACTCAGAAGAGAATATTATATATTAGTTGTATTAGTCTATAATAAGACAGAAAAGAGATTATAACAAATGTTAAACAAAAAGAAGAATCAAAACTATAAATGCTGTATAGTTATCACTCAGAAAGAACCCATGAGAGAAATTTATCAGGGCAGTGGATTGAGTGCACAAGTTTATTCCATCTTATGCCTAAGCTTGTATGAAAAGACAAAAAAAATATATTCTATTCTATGTTGGTAAAACAGACAGACTGATTCACCCCAAGAAAATATGAAAAGATTTCATCAAGTAACCAGCAATACTGAGGAATTGTTAAAAGGCAGAAAGCAAACAAGGTCAGATCTATACAAACGCATGTAGAGGAATATAAATTATAATAACCACGTACCACTTCAGACAAATTCAGACAAAAATGAAAATAATGACATTATCAACTGTTTGAAAGCAACCACTCTTAAACACCTCTGGTAGGAGTTTAACTTAGTAAATTCCTTTGGGAAAACAATCTGGCAGCATCTATCAAAACCAAAAATAGCATTCCTTTTGAGCCAGCAATTCTACTTCTAGGCAACTATCCAACAGAAACATCTGTACATGTGCACAAAGACACATGTTTACATAGGATTGCTTCATTGTAAGAGAAAAAAAATCCAAAAACTTAAATGTCTTTCAGTAGGCAACAGCTAAATGTTATGTATAGCCATAAAATGAAATACCACAGAAGCATTGACAACCACCATCACCATCAATGAAAGAAGTTGAACCTATATATGTTCTGACATGGAAAGAGCTCCCAAATCACACTGTGCTACGGGTAAGTGAAAAAAAGAAGCCATGGTACAACACATAGAATATGAGTCCCTTTTGACAAACACACACACAGAGTAAATGGATGGATACTAAGAGTACACTCACCAAGTACTATCAGTCATTACTTCTGGGGAAGGAAAGCTGTGTGCTGTGGGGCACTACAGAATGGTGGCAAGAGACATACATGTTTTGCTCTGTGTTCTTCCATACTTTTTATATCACTTACAACAAGACTATTCATGTAGCACTTTTATAATAATAATCTTAAAAGGAAAAAGGGTGAAGAATCTGTATGTAGGGAAAAGAAAACAAAAAGTGCATCATGATGTTAATAATAAATAGCTGAATACAGGTGATAGGTCACTTTAATAAGCATGTAGATAGCAGATTTTAAATCTTGCTGGAGGTATGGCTCAAGTGGTAGTGCACCTGCCTAGCAAATGCAAGACCCTGAGTTCAAATCCCAGTACAAACAAAAATAAAATCTTAAGATAAATTTTAAGTAAGAAAAGTAGGATTCTACAAAGCAAAGGAAATAATCAATAGCAAAGAGATAACTTAGGAATGGGAGAAAATATTTCAAGTCATAAACCTGAGAAGAGATTAATATGTAAAATATATAAGGAACTCAATAGCAAGAAAACAAACAACCCAATTTAAAAATGGGCAAAGGACCTGAAAAGACATTTCTCAGAAGACATACAAATGCCCAATCAGTATATAAAAAAACTGCTCAACATCACTAATCATCAGGGAATTGTGAATCAAAACATAATGTGGTATTGTTTCATGCCTGTCAGAATGTCATTATGAAAAAGACAAAAGATAAGTGTTGGTGAGAATGTGGGGAAAAAAGAAAACCCTTGCATACTTTCAGTGGGAATGTGAATTAGTACAACCATTATGGAAATCAGTACAGAGGTTTCTGGAAGAATTAAAAATACAACTATCATATGATCCAGAAATCTTACATGCAATGAGTATGTCAAAGAGACATCTGTATTCCCGTGTTCACTGTATTATCATTCATAATCGAGATACGGAGTCAACATAAGTGTCCATCAACTGATGAATGGAAAATGTGGTGCAGATAAACAATGGAATACTACTCAGCCTTTAAAAAAGAAATCCTATCATTTGCAACAACATAGATGAACCTAGAGACATTATATGAAATGAAATAACCCAGGCATAGACCATATAATCTCACTTTTATGTAGAATCTTAATGAGTATAACTCAGAGAAATAATGCAGAATAGTACTTACAAGACACAGGGAGAAGGGAATGTTAGTCAAAGGACACAAAATTTTAGGTGGCTAGAAGATTTAAGAGATCTACTTACAACACAGTGATTATAGTTAATAACAATGCACCATTTTCTTAAAAATCACAAACAAAGTAGGTTTAAGTGTTCTCATCATGAAAAAAATATGTGCAGTAATGCATATGTTAATGTACTTGACTTAGCCATTCCACAATGTACATGTTTCAAAACACTGCTATACAAGATATATACAAATTGTATTTGTGAGTTAAAAATAAATTAAAGGAAACAGAAAAATGGGGGGGCTAGCAGAGTGGGTCAAGTGGTAGAACATCTGCTTGGCAAGCATGAAATCCTGAATTCAAACCCCAGGACCATCAAAAAAAAAAAAAAAAAGAAAAGAAAATTGAGGTATGTGTGCTTTGATATCTATTAACCAGGTACCACTAAAAATCCAAAAAGAAATTACTCAAATCAAAGATCACATCCAAAACTCTCATTTATGGGCTTCTTGGCATTGAAGATCTTTCTAATCTAACTGGAATGACATGACGTGAACACACATCAATTCAGAGCTTTACATAATTCAACAGCAAAATGACCTGAATAAACCAACAGGAGCCAAGAAAGTGGAAACATCAATGTCAGTTAAGGCAGTGAGAGCACAGGCCTATCAGCAGATAGCTTAGTAGTCTACCAGGTTTCAACTACCATTGTGGCCCTCTCAAAGCACTTCCAAAAGTAACTATGAAGCTAAGAGTTAAATTGCTCTTTATTTTAACAAGGCAGGATTCAGCAAGTCTTCCAACATTTTCTTTTAGTTCCATGACTTTGGTTTAGAGGTGATTAAGTTTGTACATCCTACAGAAGCCAATTAGAAAAGATAACACAGATAGGAACTATCCTAAAGAAAACTACATTTCCAACTTTTATCCATCCCTCTTTGCTCTAAATAGCAACTGCTCAAAAGCCCATCCAGAAATCCTGAGGTCTGGGAATATATTAAGCAAACCCTAAATGAAAGTGGAAAGTTGTAATCTCCCTATTTGGAATTTTAGCTCTAGACAGGATGGTAGTAACATTCCCCTCCACCCAAGTTTCTTCCTTTTTGGCAACTAAAAAAAAGAACTATTCACAATCTAGGTCTTCCTCTCTGCCACAGCTGTCCTACTGGGTTTTTCTAAAACAGTAAATACCAAAGGGCTGCTCACCAGTAAACAAAAGCAAATATAATGCACCCAAAAGAACCAGTGAAAACAATTTAAAAAC